GACCGGCACGCAGTCGTGCGGCTCGGCCGCCGCCATGACCTCGCCCCAGTCCTCGTCGCGCCCGGCCATCAGCTCGCAGCGCTCCTGCGGGCGCTGCAGCACGAGGCAGCGCTCGGGCTTGTGCACCGCCATCATGATCGCGGCGTCGAGCAGCGGCTTGTAGGGCACGACCCTCTGCCCCTCGATGCCGCAGGAGGCGGAGAGAATCAGCTTCGGCGCGCAGTCGTCGATGCGGGTGGCCAGCTCGTTGGCCGCGAAGCCGCCGAAGACCACCGAATGGATGGCGCCGAGCCGGGCGCAGGCCAGCATGGCCATGATCGCCTCGGGCACCATCGGCATGTAGATGATGACCCGGTCGCCCTTGCGCACGCCGCGCGCCGCCAGGGCGCCGGCCAGCTTGGCCGTCTCGTCGCGGAGCTGGCGGAAACTGTAGTGCCGCACCGTGTCGGTGACCGGCGAGTCGTAGATCAGCGCGGTCTCCTCGGCCCGCCCGGCCTTCACGTGGCGGTCGAGGGCGTTGTAGCAGGTGTTCAGCTTGCCGCCGGNNGAACCAGCGGTAATAGGGCGGGTCGCCGGCGTCGAGCACCTTGTCCCAGCGCTCGTACCAATGCACCGCCTCGGCCGCCTCGGCCCAGAAGCCCTCGGGGTCCTCCAAGGACCGGCGATACACCTCCTCGAAGCTGGCCATGCCTGACGTCTCCTCCCCGTCTTCGCCTTGGGCGTCTTGCTTGCGCAGGACGGTAGCCGCCCGCGCCGGCCGCCGCAACGTCGCGCTGCGGTCTGCGGCCGCCGGCGGAGCTCACCCCTCCAGGGCGGCGCGCCAGGCCGCGAGCACGCGGCGCAGCAGCGGCGGGTCGAGCCGGCAATCGGTCGCGCGGTCGTCGTGCAGCGGATGCAGCGAGACCAGCCGGCGGCGCAGACGCAGCAGATAGGCGTTGCCGCTGCGCTCGATCGCGCCGACCTCGCCGCGCTCGACCCGCTCGAGCTGGGCCAGCAGCCGCTCGATCCCGCCGAGCCCGCCCTGCAGATCGCTGACCAGGAAGCCGGCCAGCGCCTCGTAGCCGGGCTCCGCCCGCACCTCCGGCAGGCTCCCGGGCGCGGCGGCCGGGCGGATCTCGACCGGCAGGTCGGGTGGCGGCGCGTCCCAGGGCGGGCGGCCGGT